CTTCTCTTCTCTTCTCTTCTCTTCTCTTCTCTTCTCTTCTCTTCTCTTCTCTCTCCCCCCCTTCTCTTTGCTTGTTTCTCTCTCTGTGTCTTTCTTTCTCTTTAATTTTCAGGCCTCCCTCACCCCCCTCCCATCCACCCCCACCCCCAGGTCGGCAGACGCCTCAGAACCAATTTTTCCGCCCACCCGGTCCCGCCTGCGCTGGCTGCTGCTGTTGAGGTAATAGACTGGAGAAAGAAATAGTGTGGAATTAAATTACAAGTAATTTATTTTTATAGAAACAGTACATCAAGGGCCGGGAGATATTACACATCGCAGGCAGAAAGAAACCTCGGAGATGACATCAAAGTTGATGTCCCCTTCAGCAAAAGTTTAATCTTTTCATTAATTTATCGAGGGCAGCCCTTATCCATCTTCTTATGGGGGGTGAAGAGACAGAGAGAGAGAGAGACTGACAGACACACAGAGAGAGAAACAGACAGAGAGACACAAAGAGAGAGAGAGAGAGGGAGGCTGAGGGAGAGCTTTGGTCAGCCTGGTCTCTCCGGAGCCCAGATCTCCTGAGGCTACTGATGGTGCAGCCTGGACTTGCTGGGACGGAGGGGGCTGCACCTAAGGACCCTCACCCCTTCACCCAAGTCATCCGGGCTCTGGAAGCTCTCCTCACTAATGCCGAGAAGACCTGGGGCTTGTCTGTTCTTAAGTCAGCATTTTACTGCAGGGATGACTGGGGGAAATGAGAAGGTCATAAATGGGAAAGATACATAGATGGTAGATAGATATTGATAATAAATAGATATATAGAGATCGATAGATGATAGATATAGATAATAGATAGATAGATAGATAGATAGATAGATAGATAGGCTAGAAAGATGATAGAGAGATAGATCGATGGGTGGGTGGATAGATAGATAGATATGCTAGAAAGATGATAGATAGATAGATAGATAGATAGATAGATAGATAGATAGATAGATCTGTGGGTGGGTGGATAGATGAATAGATAGATAGATAGATAGATAGATAGATAGATAGATAGATAGATAGATAGATATGGTAGATATAGATAATAGATATAGAGATAGATAGATATTTATAATAAATAGATATATAGAGACAGATACATAGATAGATGATAGATAGATAGATAGTTTGCTAGAGAGAGAGAGAGAGAGATATTTAGGGGTATAGGAGATAAAGATTTCTGTATGTTGCTGATATATGCCATGGTCCCAACCAGGACTCACATTAATTCTATAAACAGCAGCTCTGACCCCTGCCCTGTCCTGCGATGTCCACACCCTCTCTGACAGGCTCCAGCCCATGTCTGCTGCAGTCACTCTGTCCATCCGTCTCATGAAGGGTCTTCCTCTCTGTCTCTCTGACCCTCCACCTTCCCCAGCACAATGTCCTTCTCCAAGCACTGACCCTTCCTGAGCACAGGCTCAAAGTAGGTGAGATGGAGTTTCACCATCTTATACCTCTGAGAACCATATTAGGTAGATAGATGGATCTATAGACACATAGATAGATAATAGATAAATGATGATGATAGATAGATAGACATACATAGATAAATACATAGCTACATAAGTGATAGATAAATACATGATAGATAGAGATAGAGATGATAGAGATA